CAGACACGATCTTTACATTTTTCTGAGCATGCTTGCAAAAAATGGCCTCGAATTATGAAAAAAAGTAAACACTGCCAAAAAGCACCTTGCCCGCGACCCAGGGGTCAGGATGAGGCAAACATTTTTTTTGGCAAAAAATGGCCAAAAAAATCACAAGAAAAAGTAAAATGTTCTCAAAAAGCCCTGGGCCTGCGTAGTGGGGCTCCCAAGGACCGTGATGCGTCAAAAATTTATATTTTTATTTATGTTTTGCATTCTAAAATTAATATACCATTTTTAGGAATTAATACAACAAGCGGCACAATTTTTTGATGAATATTCTATTTTTTATAATTTTCTTTATTTTTTGTCTCTGAAAAATAAAATAAAAATGACGTAAAAAAATTATGAAATTTTGCAGACGCAATCCTTACATTTTTCTTAGAACGCCTGCAAAAACTGGTCCCAAAAAATGACAAAAAAGTAAAACGCTGTCAAAAATCCCATGGCTCGCATAGTGGGGTGCTCAAGGTCCAGGATTGGTCAAAACTTTACATTTTTATTTATCTTTTCCACTCTAAAATTAATATACATTTTTGAGGAATTAATGCAACATGCGACACCATTTTTTTATGAATATTCTATTTTTTATGATTTTCTTTATTTTTTGTCTTTGAAAAATAAAATAAACTAAAAAGGATGTCAAACGACTATGAAATTTTGCAGAGATGATCCTTACATTCTTTTGTGTCTGCCTCTGAAAAATTGCCTCAAAAAGTGACAAAAAAAAAAAAGAAAAACGCAGCCAAAAATCCCCTGGCCCGCGTAGTGAGGTGCTCAGGGGCTGGGATGGGGCAAAAATTTATATTTTTATTTATGTTTTGCATTCAAAAATTAATATACCACTTTTAAGAATTAATACAACAAGCGGCACTATTTTTTGATGAATATTATATTTTTTTATAATTTTTTTTATTTTTGTCTTTGAAAAATAAAAACGACGTCAAAAAATTTTGAAATTTTGCAGAAACAATCCTTACATTTTTCTGGGCACGCCTGCAAAAAGTTGCCTCAAAAAATGACAAAAAAGTAAAACGCTGTCAAAAGCCATTGACTCGCATAGTGGGGCGCCCAACGGCCGGTATTGGTAAAAAATTTACATTTTTATTTATGTTTTGCATTCTAAAATTAGTAAAAAAAAAATTCAGGAATTAATACAATGAGTGGAACCATTTTTTGATGAATATTCTATTTTTTTTTATTTTTCATTTTTGAAAAATAAAATAAAATAAAAACCATGTCAAAAAATTATGAAATTTTGCGAACACAATCCTTATATTTTTATGGGCACGCCTGTAAGAAATTACCTCAAAAAATGATAAAAAAGTAAAACGCTGTCAAAAAGCCCCCGGCCTGCATAGTGGGGAGCCCATGGACCGGGATGGGTAAAAAATTTACATTGTTATTTATGTTTTACATTCTAAAATTAACATACATTCGTTAGGAATTAATACAACAAGTGGCACCATTTTTTGATGAATATTCTATTTTTTATAATTTTCTTTATTTTCCATAAAATAAAATAAAATCGACGTCAAAAAATTATGAAATTTTGCACACACAATCCTTACATTTTTCTGGGCTTGCTTGCAAAAAAATGGCCTCAAAAAATGACAAGAAAAAGTAAAACGTTGTCAAAAAGCCCCCGGCCTGCGTAGTGGGGCGCTCAGGGGCCATGATGGGTCAAAAATTTACATTTTTATTTATGTTTTGTATTCTAAAATTAATATATGATTTTTAGGAATTAACACAACAACGGCACCATTTTTTGATGAATATTCTATTTTTTATAATTTTCTTTATTTTTCATCTTTGAAAAATAAAAATAAAATAAAACGATGTCAAAAAATTATGAAATTTTGCAAACGCAATCCTTACATATTTCTGGGCACGCCTACAAAAAATGGCCTCAAAAAATGACAAAAAAAAAAGTAAATCGATGTCAAAAAGCTACCGGCTCGCGTAGTGGGGTGGTCAGGAGCCGGGCTGGGTCAAAAATTTACCTTTTTATTTATGTTTTATATTCTAAAATTAATATCCATATTTTAGGAATTAATGCAACTAGCGGCACCAGTTTTTGATGAATATTCTATTTTTTATGATTTTCTTTAACTTTTGTCTTTGAAAAATAAAATAAAATAAAAACGACGTCAAAAAATTATGAAATTTTGCATACGCAATCCTAACATTTTTCTGGGCACTTCTGCAAAATATGGCCTAAAAAAATGGCAAAAAAAAAGTAAATCGCTGTCAAAAAGCCATTGGCTGGCGTAGTGGGGTGCTAATTGCCCGGGATAGGTAAAAAATTTACCTTTTTATTTATCTTTTACATTCTAAAATTAATATACAATTTTTAAGAATTAATACAACTAGCGGCACAATTTTTTAATGAATAGTCTATTTTTTATGACTTTCTTTAATTTTCAGTTTTGAAAAATAAAATAAAAGAAAAACGACATGAAAACATTCTGAAATTTTGCAGACAAGATCCTTACATTTTTCTAAGCATACCTTCAAAAAATGGCCTCAAATTATGAGAGAAAATGCTACCAAAAAGTCCCCGGCCTGCGCAGTGGGTCGCCTAGGGGCCTAGATGGGTCAAAAATTAAAATTTTTATTTATTTTTACATTCTGATACATGATTTTTAAGAATTAATGCAACAAGCGCCACCATTTTTTTATGAATATTCTATTTTTTATGATTTTCTCTATTTTCGTAATTAAAAAATAAAATAAAATAAAAATGATGTCAAAAAATTCTGAAATTTTCCAGACACAATCCTTACATTTTTCTGAGCATGCAAGCAAAAAATGGTTATCAATTATGAAAAAAGAAAATGCTGCCAAAAAGCACCCGACCCGCACAATGGGGCTCCCAGGGGCTAGGATGAATCAAACATTAACATTTTTATTTATGTTTTATATTCTAAAATTAATACATTATTTTTAGGAATTAATGCAACAAGCGGCACCATTTTTTTATGAATATTCTATTCTTTTTATGATTTTCTGTATTTTTCATCTTTGAAAATTAAAATAAAATAAAAATAACATCAAAAAGTTCTAGAATTTTGCAGACACGATATTTACATTTTTCTGAGCTTGCTTGCAAAAAACGGCCTCGAATTATGAAAAAAGTAAACACTGCCAAAAAGCACCTTTCCCGCGACCCAGGGGTCAGGATGAGTCAAACATTAACATTTTTATTTATGTTTTACATTCTAAAATTAATACATGATTTTTAGGAATAATGCAAGAAGCGACACCATTTTTTGATGAATATTCTATTTTTTTATGATTTTCTCTATTTTTCATCTTTAAAAATTAAAATAAAATAAAAACGACGTCAAAAAGTTCTAAAATTTTGCAGACACGATACTTACATTTTTCTAAGCATGCTTGGAAAAAATGGCATCGAATTATGAAAAAAGCAAACGCTGCCAAAAAGCACCTTACCCGCGAAGTAGGGCGCCCAGGGGCCAAGATGAGTCAAACATTAACATTTTTATTTAGTTTTTATATTTTAAAATTAGTACATTATTTTTAGGAATTAATACAACAAGCGGCACTATTTTTTTATGATTTTCTCTATTTTTCATCTTTAAAAATTAAAATAAAATAAAAACGACGTGAAAAAGTTCTAAAATTTTACATACATGATCCTTACATTTTTTTGAGCATGCCTGTAAAAAATGACCTCGAATTATGAAAAAAGAAAACGCTGTCAAAAAGCACCCCACACACAGTGGGGCATCCAGGAGCATGAGTCAAACATTAATATTTTTATTTATGTTTTACATTCTAAAATTAATACATGATTTTTAGGAATTAATGCAACAAGCGGCACAATTCTTTGATGAATATTCTATTTTTATGATTTTTTCTATTTTTCGTCTTTGAAAATTAAAATAAAAGAAAAACAGCGTCAAAAAGTTTTAAAATTTTGCATACACGATCCTTACGTTTTTCCAAACATGTTAGCAAAAAATGGCCTCGAATTAAAAAAAAAACTGCCAAAAAGTACCACGCCCGCGCAGTGGGGCGCCCAGGAGCTAGGATGAGTCAAACATTAACATTTTTATTTATGTTTTACATTCTAAAATTAATACATGATTTTTAGGAATTAATGCAACAAGCGGCAACATTTTTTTATCAATATTCTATTTTTTTATGATTTTCTCTATTTTTCGTATTTCAAAAATAAAATAAAATAAAAACGTCAAAAAATTCTAAAATTTTAGACACGATCCTTACATTTTTCTAAAACGGCGCATCGTTTTTCTTCCAATGTAAAAGGACGTGTCATTTTGTCTTAAAAAAAATGACGTGTTGTATTGACTTCAAAAAAAGACGTGTCGTTTTGCCTTCAAAAAATGACGTGTCGTTTTGCTTCTCATGTAAAACGACGTGTCGGTTTGCTTCCCATGAAAAAATGACATTTCGTTTTGCTTCAAATAAGAAACGACGTGTCGTTTTGGTTAATATATAAAACGACGTCTCAGTTTGGTTCCCAAAAAAAACGTGTCGGTTTGATTCCCACGTAAAACGACGTTTAAGATTGTTTTGAAAATCATTTTAGAACCAATTTTAAAATTACGTTTATTTAATTTTTTAAAGAGATTATTTTGAATATAATAAAAAAATAAAATCGTATTTATTAATTAATATATTATAATATTTATTAATAAGTACTAAAAAAGAAAAACAGAAAAATAAAAACAACTTTCAATTATTTTCTAATTCCTTCACAAAAACCATTTTCACTATTTTCATTTTCATTTTCAAAATATTTTCTAAACAAACATCATTTTATTTTCATTTTTATTTTTTGCTTTTCAAAATACGTTTTAAAAACGGTTCCAAACACTCACATTATTTTTATCATAAATGAAGTAAAAGAAAGATCACCAATGGAAAAAATAGAAAATCACTGATACAGCAGTGGAAGACACATTTTCCACTTTCAATCATCTTGTGAAATTGCTTCTCTGACGCTAAAGTTGCTTAATCCCCTACCCTGATATCATGGAAATTTTGGTCATAGCTTATACTATATGACAAGGGAACCAACAATGAGAATGTCTTACTAAACAACCTCCAATCCAAGAAAAAGGAATCTAAAAATAGAATTAAATTAACCAACAAGAATGGATATAGTACAACATCATTATCTTGGAAACCATAACAACCTCTGAAAACTACACGATTGACGATTCTAGTTGCAGTCATACCCAGGTTGGGGAGGGGGCGGCCTCCTATTAGCTCTCCTGTCTAATGCAGAATATTGGTTTCCCGCTTGATGGGGATGCCCATAACCCCTCTCGACATTTTGGCCGCCTTGTGGCTGGGAAAGCCAGCCGGGGCTGCCGCCACTGCCACTACCCCTCCACTGATGACCAGTGGCTCCTGATGGCTGGTAGCTCTGATACTGGTTGTAACCACTCTGATAAGGATCGGCACCATACCCTAGTGGAGTTTGTCCGATGGGTCCCCGAGGGTACATGGGTCCAACATTGTGATGACTTCCTGACTGGTATTGTGGGTGCCTAGAATTCGTTGAATGGGAGTGCTGTGAAGGCATTTGATTACTTCTATCATAGTAGTTAGATTGAGACCCATTGTGAGGATGCCGATGAGCTGATGAAGCATGTCTATCGCTATAATTGTGTCGTTCGTTGTATCCACGATCACCGTAACTCTGATTTGATGATTGAAATTGAACTTCAGGAGGGTGAAAAGTTCCACGCGGCGGCATTCTATGATGTCCCTGGTCATGGAACCTCTGATTTCCGTAAGATGACTGGAACTGAGTATGCTGAGCTCCAGGATAAGGTGGTGGGTGAACATGCATTGGATTGCAGTACCCGTTACGGTCAGCCTTCACTTGTAAGCTATTAACAACCAGCCGAGTCGCTGCTTCCCCAAGGTGCCGGCCAGAAAGATCTCTAGAATGGTTTTGCCTGAAAGGAAATAGTGAAATCAAGATTTCATTAATATCAAATGAAAGGAAAAACAGGCACAAAATGGCAATGACTCAGTCTTGAAATGGAATTTCCTCAAGAATAAGTACGTGTGAATAGTATTATTTCAGTCCACGTGACAATTGAACAAATACCTTCCATTTTCGAAATGCCTTCTCCCAGAATCTTCATGCCACAACACAGGATCAGTTTTGAGATCCCCCAACGTCACAATCTGAATACAACAACTCAAGGTTAATACAAAGCATTACGAGAACCATACTAACAATAAGCCTGCTTGCAGTTGCACCATCTTGTTTATTCAGTAGATGAAATTACATGCGTTTTTCCTACAGATTGCATCAGCAAGCTAGCAATCAAAAAACTGGATGATGAGAGAGGATAGGGTGCATCAAGGGATTTATTTATTTATTAAGTAAACGACTCAAAAGCAACTAAATACCCTACTCAACTTTTGTCAACCCATTAATAGCGAGTCTGTATGATGCAAAGAGAATTTTAGGATAACTCCAAAAGCAGAAAAGAAACGCATGACAGAGGTGATACACTGGTTGAAAGTAAACAACAAATATTCTATTTTGTCCATCATCTTCATATGTAACAGATTGAAATGCTCAGATGAGAATCCCACATTATATGCCAACATATGAAAATTTTCAAAGCATGTTTTGCAAACTGATTTGCAATAAAATTTACATTAATATTTGTACAGATATATATGGGCGAGGAAGGCATGACTCATCCAATTGTAGCAAAGTTTCAAGAAAGAGTAAGATGAGACTTGTATAATGAACACCACTGCAACGGCATACTTTGTTGTTGCATACCTTCTTTGGAAATTTAACACCTGCAAGTGGTCGGGTTATGTGCTTATGTGCATCCGGAAGCCTGTATATAGCACATCTGAAGAGGGGGAGGTAGAAGGAAAAGTAAATGAAGAAAAATACATCAGCAAATGGATTACAGCTTGAACAAATCACGAGTTCATGTTATGATCAGAGCGTGAGAGCTTACATCACTTGGTTGTCCATAATATCTTCCATTCCAGAAACAGGGGACCGAAATACAGGTGGACAAGGTTCTCCACCGCATGGAGATAGATATCCATTCATCCCATCACTGCACGCAGCCCTAAAAAAATTCAGAAAATAGTCCGCAGGGATCTCAAATTACAAAACATTACGGAGAAGGAAGGTCAAAACATAATTTGAGCTCATACATTAGTAAACATTAACATTTAGAATCCAGATCACGTGTCCACTTTGAAAAAAATATTGGCATGAAAGAGTGCATGCACAAACAGATATAATAGATACTAAATCGTCCAAAGCCACAAACCATTTAAGAAAACTACCACAGACCTGATTTGCGGATCAATTCGTTCCTTAATTTCAGCTCTTTCACTGTTAGACAACTGCTTACAACGATCGTCAAGAGAATATATAGATACAGAGAGAGGATGAGACGATGCCACAAACAGCATGTCACACATGATGCTGTTTCTCCGGACTTCCTCTGCCTACAGCCAGGGACAAAAACAATGGTACAATATTCAGCTAAATGAAATGCTAATATAACCTTTAAGCGGGGCGCGGGGGGGGGGGAATCACGAAAACCTCCAACCAAGCCAAAATAAAAAACAAAAAACAAAAAACAAAAAAAAAGAAAAAGAAAAGAACATCGAGTGGAAGTAAACAGCCTTGTACCGTCAATGTATGCTCAGTTTCGGCAACCACCGCAAGAAGGCGAGGTTCATCAATAAAAGGCAACTTTGCAATACCCTAGAGAAGGGAAAGCATTATGGATGTCAAAAAAATGTGAGACAAAAATCTAAAAAGCAACTGCAGAACGCAGTAAGCAAACAGGATAACCCACCTGCCAAGAGTATCTTTTCCCGTTCATATCTACTTCAAAATCTGAAATACATCAAAAGATTCAGAGAGCATCGAGCTATGCAAAATTGCAAGTAAACTCAAACCAGTTTTAGGAAAAAAAAAAAAAAAAAAGGCATACCAGTTGGATAAAAATCAATGATAGGCGAGTTTGCATCTGTCATCAACTTCCTATAAGGCTCTGGAAGAGCATGGGCACTGCAATTGGTTGTAGTTAGTAGCTTGCTAGCTGGAAATTTTACAAGGAAAAAAGGCGCCAACAAATGCATATCACACCTTGCAGCTGGGAAAACTCCCAAGAGCTGATTGAACGGTTTGAAGGGAGAGCCTAACTCAAACTTTATATCCAGCTGAACAAGATCCTTAAGATCAGAAGCAAATGGTGCATAGTGATATGGGTAAAACCTGAATTCAAAGAGTTCCATGGCATAAAGTCAGCAATTTGGCATAATTTTCAGGGGCCAAGAGAAGCCAAAAACTCATTTGAATCATCAGAACAGTATGATTATGATATGATGCCTTTGTGCAGTGGATCGGGGAGAGGGGAGGGGCATCAATAGTAAAAGCTTGAACCAACTAAATGATTCCAGAAAATATTCAATCCAATCAACCAATCAAGTACCCAAGTTTCCTAAAACATAAAAATATTTAATCAAGGAACAGGAATTCAGAAGCAACCAGAATGTCAAAACTTAATACATTGAACAAAGATTAAATCTTAACTTAATGAGAGAGTGAAACTATCAAGCATGATAATTCACACGGGAAAGCCAAACAAGATAGTGGAGTAAATGAATAAAAACTAACCACTGCCAGGAACAAACCCCTTCGTAATAGTAGTGCATAACCCAACATAGGCCTTCTGTGTATCTCAGGACCTAAACCAATATATGTACCTAATTGTAAGATGGAATAACAACTAAGAAAGATTCAAGAGCAGTAGCACTTGTAGTTATCAACTTACAACATCCTTCCGTACTGCTTCACGTTCCTCAGGAGTTTTTGCAGAAAATTTTTCTTCATAATATCTGTCTTTCCACCCCGGTTCTCCCAATTTAACCTGGTGAAAGAAGATGAGAAATACAAAATACATAACCCTTGCATCGGAAATCAAGCTTATTTTATGAATAGAACAACCTATTTTGACAGCTTTTTCTTCAATTTTGTACCAAAAATATATAACATATATAATGTCAAGAAAAATAAATAGGCCAGTATTAACACCCATTGTGCTAAAAAAAACCCAAAAAAAACAAAAAAACAAAGACTCCTTTGTGTTTTTATCTTCAACAAGTGTCACAACTCAAGCTTTTTTATGTCTTTGAAAACACTTTTAAAAATATTTTGGTGGTGTTCTCAATTGCAAACAGATATGTACAAAAACATTGAGACAGAAGAAACCCAACAATATCAATATCAATATGCATAGAAATTTTGAAACCTATCAGATGCCAACGAAAAATAAATCATATTTTCTTAGTAAAGAAAAACATTATGTTTTTATTCTTCAACAAGACATTCTCTATTTTCTAAAACACAATTTGGTGATGTTCTCAATTGTAAAGACATATGTACAAAAACATTGAAACAAAAGAAACACATCGATATCAATATGCATAGCAACTTTGAAACCTATGACATGCCAAATACAAATAAATCAAATTATTACTTGAAAACTAAAAATACCTTGTCATCATCGGCATTTTTAGAGTTAAAAACATCAGACTTCCCACGAATTATCTCCTTGAGCTTTGCTTTCAATTCTTCCTTATTTTCCTGAACCTGAAACAAAAGGTGCAAATGATAGCCCAGTGAGCATATGAATATCATACAAACTTGGCACAACAAATTCCATCAGGAAAGACAATGAGTAAAAGATTAACAATGCCCGAGTGAATATCATACAAACTTATCACAAAAAATTCTATTAGGAAAGACAAGTAAAAGATAGCAATGCCTATACACACCAACTTCCCACCAATCATGCTCTCCAACAAACAATTAAATAAAGAACATATCTATGGAATGGATTATGTGGGAATGGGATATAACTTAATCCACCAACTTTAACTCGAAAGCACTTCTACACTACTGAAAAAGTTTCTAGAAGTCATGACGTCAAACAGGTAGATAAATTCTTATGTAGGGAAACATACTTCCACTTCAAGACTGTTCTCAGCTTCAACAATAGCAGCACCAACAGTAGCAGCAGAGGATGAACGAGCAACTTTGTGTGCACGTCCGACTCGATGTTCATTTCTAGATCCTGATTGTTGATATGGCGAAGGAGAAGAACCTGAAGCAAGACGAGAACCACGAAACTGAGAAACTGGAACAAGATCTGGTTGAACTTGAGGCTCAGCATCATCTCCTCTCCTTGCTTGTGCCTTTTCACGCTTTATTCTCTCTGCCTGGCGCTGAAAAGAGGAAAAAGAATTGCAACAAAAAAAAAAAAAAATTAAAATTAAACCTTAAAAGTCATAGTACCACCGAATCATACAACTATCAATTTTCATAAAAGTGACAAAATAAAGTTAGATTGCGGAAAGCAGAAAATCATGATACTTGACTGATCTAACTGAGACATATTTCTCCACGCCTCTTAAAATTTTGGAAATGAAGAGAATATGACTAGTTGGAAATAATACCCATCTGTAAAAACCACACCTGATGCAATCGAGCCCTTTTCTGGAATATTTTATCTTCATAAGATCCAACTGCCTGAATGAAATGCTCCACACAATCCAAATTTGGCTGAGAAACCAAACAAATCAGACAGTAAACACCCAGACAATAAAAGAAATTAAGAATGAATTGCTTTGCCAATGATTCTTACACAGCCAAACCAAAAAGAAATAAGGCATTAATACCTTCCACGAGTCGGTCAGATAACCACCCATTGCCCTAAATTCTTTCTTGTATACTGCCAAAAGCAAGTTGATTGCACCCTGAGAATCAAGAATGAGATTTATAAAATATAAATTTCATCATATTTTAGCACTGTAAAGTCTTAGCGAAAGCAGAGTAGAATATTAATCTGGATAAGAAACCAGTATGAAATCCTTGAAAGCCAAGATATGAGACGACGTATAACCTAATCATTATGTAACCAGAGTTCTCTCGAACAACAACTACAAAGACAGAGATATAAGTTTGCTTCAAAGGAAATACCATACCTCACGAATCTCTAGTGTGGGCATATGTGGTAAGAAATCATTTCCCACAAAGAAACACATAAAAATAAAATCATCCACAATGCACTCCAAATCAATCTCAAATGGAGGATTTGGAATTCTCATCTCATAATCCAAATACTCTCTGAGAGTCCAAATATTGAGAAACTGCACAGCAAGGAAACCAAAAATAAAAGTTAGAGAGAGAGAGAGAGAGAGAGTCGTCTAAACTGGGACTTTAAATTACATGGAATATCGCTGATTAAAAAAAACATGGAATATCCGGAGGGAATATATCGAAAAATTTATCCATTCTAGCAGCCCTAGAAAACTCTCAATCTGAAAACCCAATCAGCCTCAACAATAAAACTCACTTTAAAAACTGCAAAATATATGTATACTTTCCATTTCTAATCCGCCGTCACCATGGTTATCCCAGAGCTAAAATAATAATAATACTAATAATAACCTACTGACCTGGTATGGTTTCTTGACAACAACATTATCACCTTTCTCATCAAACTCCCCAGACTTCCTCTTTGCCTTTCCTTCACAATCCGCTGCTAAATGACCCATTTGCCCACATAGGAAGCATTTGTCTTGCTGTCCAGGGGTGAAAACAATCTGAAATACAATAATGAAATAAAATTATAAGCACAAAAATCAAGAGGCCAAACACTAGTTTTTAGGGAGTTGGAACTGTGCTGGGAACAAAAGTAACTGCTTAGTCCTTAGTCATAGCCTACATTTAAAACAAAAAACAAAAAAACAAAAAAACAAAAAAAAACAAAACAAAACAAAACAAAAGAAAAATTGTTAACACAAACCTCTCGCAGTATTGAAAAATGAATTTCATGAGTAGCCAAACCCAACATAATTAAATCAGCATCCTGCCGGTAGATTAACACCCATTACGAACAGAAAAATTTGTTGATTATTAAAAACACGAGAAGTACATTGAAGTCATCAACTGCACTGGAAATGCCAATGTAATCAAGGAAGAAATATACCAAACCATACAGGCAATGGCGTGTATTTGGATCATAACCAGGAAGATTTCTTTGAAGTCGAATGTAAGACATAATCTTATGTTCCCCTTCACCCGGTACATTTGCATCAGAAAGGATAACCTTTAAAAACACATACATGTCTATGTAAGTACTTTGATAAGGCTAGGCGCTTGTCATCACTGAGAAGACTAAAAAAGAGCAAGTTCTGCAAGTTGCAAAACAAAGATACGAAATCACAGAAAAAGTTGACAAGTACAAAGAAAATACCTTAATATTTTTCCATCCAGGGTCATTGTTTAATCTAAGATGAATGTAGTACTGCAATGCAACAGACAATACAGCCATAAATTCTGTTCCAGGCGTGATAACATTGGAATCAAAAACTTGTGACTCTTGTTTAGGAGGAAGCTTTCTGCCCTCCCTTTCAAACTCCCCGCGCAGACGTTCCTCTTCGGCTGCCTACAGAAATGAAAGTAAATCAAAAGATGTAACATTAGCCTAATATCCATTGAGCATAACGCCTCCTTTATCAATAACTATTCTGACCAGTCAGAAATCTAAACAAGAGAAATCAATCTCAAAGAAGTCTGGTGTGTCTATTCTATGATACAAAATGCTAATAAAAAATTGCTCATAATTTCATAATCAAAATGATTTTAACTCACATGCATGACAAAAAATTAAAGCCCTTCACGTGCAAACACATGGAGGACCCACCTAGAATCCACAAGAGCACGTACCGCATCTGCTGCATCTTTTGCTGCTCTAAAACGTCTAGACCGTTGTTGATTCATTTTTGCCCTTGGGGCAACACCATCTATCAATTGCTTTCACATAATTAGTATATTACAAATACAAATTTCTCATTTAGTTTATTTTAGTCCCAACACTTACCAATAGCCATGTACAGCAGCTTTCGAGGCCGTACCATGACAAATAGTCTGTCAATGTAATCAAACATGCATTGAAAAACCTCATCAAAACTTGTCGGAGAGGGCTGCATCAGAAAACAATATGGTTAAGATGTTTTTTTGCTGAACATACGGTTAAGATGGTTATTGCCAATAAAAAAGTTTATACCAAAAGAGTTATGTAGACATGGGTGAACGTGCTAATTGCAAATCACATAAGTATCCAAAGATTGAGCATTCATCTGGAGCTTGTAAACAACGTAGTACTCATATAAGAACCATACAACAGTAAGATTAAAAAAAAAAAAAAAAAAGGGGGAACTTAAACGTAATTTTGATTTCCGTCATGGTTTTTTTTTTTTCCAAATAAGAGAAAAACAAGATATTTGAAAACCAACAAAAAAAAAATTAAACGCCTCAATAAGGGGGAATAAGTAGACGTTCAGAGGTTAAATCGACTAAAAAATGTAGCACAACAACGTGCATCTTCGGCAATTAATCATAGCACCTAAATCACCTAATTATTGTAATAAGCTTTTTCAAGTTCCCAAATAAATGATGAATTAAAGTGAGAAAATATCCCACGTGAACTAAATTGAAGATCAACAGAGCGGAAACAAAATTCTCCAACTCCAAACAGGAACATGAATCAAACGAAACAGTAGTAGTTCAATAAGAAGAAGAAAATCTCTTAATCTAGTTCCTACCAAATGTCCCTCCACATAGCCAAACAAAACAAACAAACACCTCAGACCATTTTCTTGAGACAGACAAAGATCTTTTTACAGAACAAGTAAAAAGTGAAAAGTCTAAAGCTTTCCATCGGAAACACGCTTGAAATTGATTCTCCCCATTTCTTAATTTCACAGAAGCCAAACCCCCTTTCTCCGCCAGATAACTAACTACAACTAAGTACGCTATCAACGATTAATAAGACTGTTTATTATGCTAATAATTCACATAAATCCACCAGAAAAACGAAGTAAGAGGATGAAATTGAGATGAATCGCAACGTACCCTATCCTCGGGGTGAAAACATGGATGAATGATTCCATTCATGTCGAGATAGAGATTATCGAATTCGAGGCCGTTAGGGTTAGGTTTACTGGTGTCGACCGGAATGGAGACGTCATCGATCACGACCGGCTCTTCTTCAACCACATCGACCACCACCAGCGGATACTTCTCCGCCAACCACCGGTAGAAAGCCGGAACTCCCATGGCGAATCGCTCCGAGCTCACGGGGCAGTCGGATCTCGGCGAGAAAGCGCGGGAAGAGCAGAGAAAATCGAAGCCCCAATCCGAAATCTGAAACTCTTTTGGAGGGAGATTAGAGAGTGAAGAAGAAAAGAAATGCGAGAGAACAAACCGCGCGCAGCTACTTTTTGTTTGGAATTTGCTTGTTTGACGGCGAACTAGGGCAAGATATTTTCCAAGGGACGGTTTTGCCACTGCCTAATTGGGCATGAGAGTAGAGGCGGCGAATGATTTTCTGGAAAGTTAGGGGGTGGATTGATCTTTTGTGTTGAGAAATAAAATTGCCTCAGGTCGGTTGGATTATATTTTATAGTCGCAGGGCTTTTGGATATTTTTCATATTTTTTAATAGAAGATATTTTGTTCGTTACATGCGGGTGCGAAAAAGGTTTGCGTGACGATTTCTGTCCTTCATATCGTACCGTACTCTTCTGCCTCATCCAATATATATATATTTTTTTTATTTACAAGAACGTTTAAGGGCGCTTTAAAAAATATATTTAAATTTGTATTTAATTATAATTATTAATTAATATATTATAATATTATTAATAAATATTAAAAAATAAAAACAGAAAAATAAAAATAATTTTTAATTGTTTTTTAAATTTCTTACAAAAATTATTTTTATTGTTTTTGTTTTTAAAATTTTTTTTAAACAAACGTCGTTTCGTTTTTAATTTCATTTTTTTCCTCTTTGAAAAACATAAAAAAACGTTTTGGAAACAAAACTAAACACGTTCATAATATTTAAACTTATAATCTTAATTTTATTATGTTGTTTTCTTCTCACAAATAATATGAATTTAAATTTTTTTAACAAAAATTTTCTCATAAAATTCTCGTTAATAAATCAAAATTACTGATTTGAATGCATTAAACAAACAAGTCATAAATTCCAACTTGTGTGAGGACTGATGGAGGTCAAGTTTTATGCTATATTTTTAATACTGGAAAGAGTTTAGGATTTATGGATAATTAATATTGTTTAAAGATTTTTACTTTACTCTTAATTAAACTTTTTTAACTAATTAAAAATTCAAGATCCATACATTTTAAAGAGTATTTGTTTCATTTTTCTAAACACAAAATTAATAAAGGTCTATTTGGCAGAGTTTTTATTTTTGCTTTTAGCCAATAAAAGAAGATAAGCAAAAACTATGACTTTTCAATAGGTATTTAGAACCAAGAGCTTAATAGGTCAAAGTGATTTTTAAAGTTTCTAATAAACAATAAAAGTGTTGAAATGAAAGTTTATAATGCCTTAATTAAACTCTTATACAAGATTTAAAGTCTATTTAGAAGTGTTTTTTTTAATAAGCCTCATTTGCTGACTTTGACTGAAAACTCTTCTAAAATATCGAAGCACTTTTAATAGATTATTCAAAAACTTTTAAAAGCTGCTTGTAAACTTAGGAAGCCAAAAACAACTTTTAAAAAACTCTTATAAACAGACTGCTTTTAAAGGATTTGGGAGAACATACTGCTTATGGGAGCCCATGAGAGAACAAAGGGAAGTCCATGTCGCATGCACGGTCCAAATAGTCCAGCAAATTCAAAAGTTAAAAAGATATGAGTTTAGACTTTTATCACTCATTTTTTATTAATATCGTTTTTTATCAATTAATTATATTAATTAAAAAGATATTAACCAAGAGAAAGGTTCAAAACGAAGAAAGCAAAATAAAGGCCATCCACTGACTTTCAAATGGGTAAGCTTGATGAACAATATTGGAGTATATACATATTTTGAAGCATTCTTTTTAGGGAGAATTAATTAAAGGGATAAAATTGTTTTGATACCATGTGTTATAATGAAACATGTTTTTAGTACCATGTATTTTTAATAATGTTAAAATGATACTTTTACGTTTTAGAAAACATCTTCTAAGTACCCTAAAACTCTTTTTTGAGATATAACTAGTTAAAAGTCCGCGCATTGTTGTGAGAAATATTATTGTATTATATAAAAAGTTGAGAATTTTTATAGTATAAGATTAGTTTATATATACATATATACATATAGATATATCTATATAATATTCTAGTTAAAAGTTTCTTATAATGTATTATAGCTTTTGTTTTCTTCTTAACTGCAAAATATAAATTTTAAAAAAATTAATAATAATAATTAAGGAAGTTGAAACTTTTTAATTATATATAGTGTAAATTAAAGGATTTAGAAGTAGTTATATTACTTGGTATTTGAGCGTTTTTTGAGTGAGTCGGTTTCCTTTGGTTCGTAACTGAAATGATAAAAGATTGCTAAAATATGTATTTAAAATAATAAATGTTGATTTTTACTGATAATTGATATAAATTAGTAAATATAAGAACAAATAAAGAAATAAAAAAACTGAGGTAATAGGATGAGATGTAATAGGATATTTATTATTTATTTAATAAAAGCGTTTATTCATCATTTTATGTGCATATATTTATTAATATTTTATGAATATCAAATGAAAATTTCATGATTATTTATGTAACCTTAAACATAGTATATAAGTGTTATATACGAGAGGATAGTGTTTAAGAATAATAATCAAAAACATTGTTCGTAATAAATCTAATTAAAGTTCAGAATCTTTAATTAGAACATTACTAATACATGTCATTCCCATTTAGAATGGAATAATGTTATTCGCACTGTTAATATGATAAGATATTGAATGAGTGTATTTCGCATAATGAGATTGTGTGGAACATGGACACAGACACAATATGAATTTCTAATAATTTTCGTTAAGCATAGAAATTCTAATTGAGTCTACCGATGGTCATACATAGAATGATCTTAATCCTGAGTTCTTAACAAACTCCTATTTATGGATTTATGTCTTTTGATTTACTCGGTATGGATTCCGAGACCATGAATCATATTCCTTGTATTTTAGAGACATGATGAAATAGGTAACCGGGAATGTTATTATATGAGATGGAATCCATTCCTTCTTGAGAAAGAAGTAGATAAATAATTCTCTTGAGTGTTGATTCGGTACTTGGATTAATAAGAGCGATCTGGTTCATGAATGTGTTTTATGAATCACTATCCATTAGAGAATCAATGGTAAGAAGTAATTTATATCTATAATTTCGAGAGTGCAATTCTAAGTTTATAGTGGAGTAACTATTGGAATTAATAGAATTAATTAATTAATTAAAGTGTTTAATTGATTATTAATTTTATTGGAGCTCGGGATTATAGGTCCATTAGTCCCCGCGTCGTCCTAGTAATTCTGCCAGACACAGAGGGCAAAATGGGAATTTTAGAATTACGGAATTCTAAAATTAAACACTCGAAAATAATTAATTGAGAATTAATTATTATTTAAATAATGTGATTATTTAAATTTGAATTTGAATTGTGAACATAATTTAAATTTATCATTTTAAACTTATTTAATAAGTTGTTCAATTTAGAATTCAAATTAATTTAAGTTTCACTTAAATTCGAATTTGAATTTGAATTAAAATTGGACTACTGGATAAATGATGATTTCTCTTCCTTCCCTATCTGTTATTGGCGCCACACACAGGGTAAAAACCCTAAGGGGTGGCTGGCCACTTTATGGATAAGTAGAGGAGATTTTGTTGTTCCAAATTTAAATAGGAGATAGAGATTTGATTCTGTTTTGAAGTTTGACTTCTACTCTTTAAATATGAGAATGATAGAAAATTATGTAGACAATTTTTGAAAACAATTTTATGCCCTAAGAGTTAAGGTGGCCGAAATTCTCAAAGAGGAAAAAGAGAGGAAAAATTTTTTCTCCCAAAAATTTCACATCGTGCATGCGTTGGTGTTTGTGGAAATTCGAGTGTTATTGAAACCTGTTTTGTCTTACGTGTGCCCACACACACGTCTACGTGGAATCAAGGAATCGACGTGGAAGATTTTAGTTTTCTAAACACAAAGCTTGGAGCAAGGACTATTCGTGGTCAAAGAACTCAAGTTATCAGCCGAGTCGGCTTCCAAGTATTTTTCCTGATTGAGTTCTTGATATATATAAATTAATGTGATTAATTTATTCGTGCATAAATTAATATAATCTATAGAGTATATCAAAAGTTTTATGAAATTTTTGTTATACACGATCCGCTTTTTCTCCATACTTCCGCGTCCGAATTCGATTTAGCAACCAACACCATGCACAATAAATCATGCCTCTTTTTTAATATATATAATAAAATGTTTTTCTTACATTTCTAATAAATTAATTAAAAACTAAAAATGTTAAAACTTTACAATGACATTTTAAAATTTTGAAATTCATATTTTAATTTTCTCAGAAAAATTAAAATGTTTGAAAAACAAAAAAAGCCTTTCCAAATCTCAAACTCAAACTCATTATTTTCAAAAGAAAAAAAAAATCAAACTCAAATTTTTTTTTTAAAAAAAAAAAAAAAAAAATCCCAGAAGCTTTATCAGATGTTCTCTTCACCCTCGTCAATCCCACTCCCCCATCTTCAATGCCACTCCGCATCTTCAATGTCACTCCCCATCTTCAATGCCAAGATCCAACCACCCTTACTCCTGCCGTCCTCACCCTCATTGTTGGTTGCTAGATCTCCTTTAAATCCACTATCTTGTTTTGAGTTCCTTTAAAACTTTTTCAGAAAACGCTCAAATCCCGGCACAATCAGCAAGCACATTTAGAGCTTCGCCATTCGCTCCAAACTACTTCCCTTTCATGAGCACATCCCTCCATCAACGCCTTATCTAAACCATGAGTCTTCATACTTAAAGCCTCCAAAGTAGCCTACGGCTGTCCTTAGAGCACTGCTCCATTTTAAGCCTTATCCAACCCTCCAAGTCATTTCTTACTCTTACAATTGTTTATCTATGAAATTTCGTACATATTATTCTCACACTTTTGCAGGGGTATTATTCTAATTGGGCAACAAAGAGGGCCCTATAATATGTGTTCTTCAGCCTAATTTGTTCCTAGCGGACCCCACATTCTCATAGAAGGTTGTATCATCCTCATCAACTTTAATAGCCCATTAAGCATCTTGGTCATATTGAAACCACCACTAATGAATTAAATACTTATATGTGCACATCCTCAACATGTCATCCCTTAGAATCTACCGGACCCCAACATGGACCTTATATATTAGTGTTATACTAAGTAATATAATAGCATACCGTGAGACATTATGTTTGGTGGTTCTCAATTAATGTGAAATTTCAGTATTCTCAGAAAACAAAATTGACACATTAAGAAAATGCCTTATAATGTGCACAGTGCACCAATCAC